TTGATCCAGCAAAGATTTACAGCATTGAGTGGGCCATTTTTATGCAAGGGCTGATCCCAGGGATTTTGACTGAATAGGATTATGCCATGGTCTTTATGGAAGTTAAGTCTAACTCTTCTATTATACTTAGAATCAGAGAGCTCTGGATCCCAATTCTAATTAGATGAGTACTGCATGCAAATATAAAATATTTGGACATATGGACAAATATGTAATTCCTTGCCTCTAAAGAATACAACATAAGGAAGGCAATAGACAACATAAGGCAATACAACATAAGGAGGCAAAGGTCAGAAAGTAGAGGCTTGAGGAAGTGAACTGCACAAGGTGAGCAGGGCTGGTCGGAAACCTCCAAAAGGATCTTCTGACCCCTAGGAGATGTGTGTTTAGTGTTGTTTATTGCCCGGGAATACGCTCATCCTTGTCAGCAGATTCTGAAATGTAGACATCAATGAGGCACAATTTAAAAAGAAAAAAAGCTATATTAGGAAGGAGAAATATCCAGTGTTTCATATCTGTATCGTGACCAAGAGAATTCAGATATTAATAGCTCTCTTCTTGTTAGAGTACTTAGTCAGATGATATTGTTATTCCTCCTTATATCATGTGAAGATTTACTCAGTGACTCTTCATCTTTAATTTTAGAACAGGTAGAGGATCTTTTGATCAGTGGCAGCCTTCAATAGCAGCAAAACCTAAGATTTTGTTGCTGTTGTTTTATGAGGCCACAGGAAAAGAGGGACTGGCATATATTAGGTGTGTGAGTCAGTGCTATATAGGTTGATTTAAAGAGTCATTTTCATTTGTCAGCTAAGTATCTAGCTTTTACCTTTCACTATTTTATTTGTCTATCTTGCAAGTCGATGAGACAAACCATTATTATATCCTGAAGAATATGTTCTTTAGGATCAAATCCAGACAGTAATCCATATATAACCAAAGAAAGCTTGGCAGAGTAAGCTTTATGAATTTGCATTATGAAGCCAAACTACTGAGGAAACACATTGCATGTCTAATACAGCAGACTGGTATGCGAACTGTCTTTAATCATGCTCCAAAACCTACTCCTGTGAATTATTTCTCTTGGAAGTTGGGCTTCATTTGTCTTCCTAGTTTAATTCAAGTCCCAGCCCAAAAATTCAAGTTTTGTTTTTATAGTGCATGTTGAGCTTTGTGCAGTTAAGCAGCTTCAGTGAGTTCTTGTAAAGCTGTGCTTGTTTCTAATACCTCCTCCTTATTCCGTCTGAAACTCAGTTGGGAAAAAAATCTGAGGTAAATAAAATTGTTTTAGATGAAATATATATATTTTTTATCTTAGTCAAGTGGTGACTTTTTTTTTTTTCTCTTCTGTCACCTGAAACTGCAGTGAATTCCTTTTGTACTTCCGGATGGAATTTTACTGCTATTACTTTGAAAATATAAAGTATTCAAATGTCTCATTCAGGACTAGGTCACAGTGTGTTAGGTCACTGTATATTTAGGCAGTCTTAAATATTTATATACATGCTTAAAATATACTCCTCTGGGTATAGTCTACACTGCACCCAATAAAATGTACTTGAGTACCTGAAGTGACCTGTTTAGCCACAGCTCAGAGGTCCTTATGGACTAACTGATCCCCCTGTTTAGGATGAACTCGTAGCGTTTCTATGCAGATGGACACTTTATGTGTGGTTTGTACCAATTTTCTATAACCAGTCCCATTTAAATCAGTGAGGATTGAGTCCGTGATAACAATGGACCTTGTACAAAGGAACATACTGCACAGTGAGAAAGATCCTCATTCTGTTGCTGGTTAAAGGCCTGTTTTTAGTTCAGTGTACCTATATATACTAATATACCTATGTTTGTATACTGGGAAGTAAATAGTGGAGAAGCAGAGTTAATGTCAAGGTTTAAGTTAAAAAAAGAATTATATATGTATATATACGTGTATATATATATATATTCAAAAAGACAATGCTACAGTATTCTAATCTATTCCAGAAGTTTTTTTGTCTTGTACTTTTAAAACTCACATGATGTGTGTGATTTGGAAGGGCAAAACTTATGCATGAGGTTTTTTCCATTTACCTAGAAGCAACGTGGGTGGTTGGCCCTGTTGCAGGGCCGGGCAGTGCAGTGCATGCCAGTCGCCTTGCAGCAGCCTCCGAGCAGCAGCCTGTCTCCAGCAGCTGCTAGCAAAATATTGTTATTGGGGCTGTGTTAATAACGCTGTCCAGATGTGTCACGGAGTCTTTGCAGAAAACTGACAGAATAGCAGAAATCATGAGCTTAATTGAATGTAGATGTGTGTAAATCTTGTATATGATATGAAAGAGAGCTCTTGACTGCAAACCTCAGGAAGGTTTAAGCCCTGTGACCCAGGAGCAGGAGAGAGCAGTAGTCTCGGTCCCACTCTCATGTTTAAGAAGCGTAATTATCATTTGTGGGTGCTTAGGCAATCCACCTCTGTGTTTCCTGATGTGTTTCCTGGTGGTAGGAATAAGTCCTGCTTCCAGTCAACTTGTAATGGGGGTACTTGGGGTAAGACAAATGCTTCCTTATGCATGGCAAATACAGCAAGAGAAGCTAAATGGTTTCACTGAAGAGGTTGCTTCTGCACCTAGTTTTTCTGGGCTAGCACAGCCAGTCCTGTACCCACTCTGTAGTTTCATGACTGGCTTAATTTGGTCTGCCTGGAGCAGGCAAGGCAGTCACTGAGCTGACTGAAAACTCGTCAGGCTTTAGCATCCTTTCCTTCGGCTGGCAAACTTATTTTTCAGTCAGATCTACTCACCAGCCCAGCTCACCCTGCAGCACAACTAACAGCATGGCTGGGGCTAAGCACGATAAGGGGGTAAGACCTACTCTTTTCCTTTGCAACACGCTCTTGCCTGAGTTCAGCCTGACCATGAAACTGCGCAATGTCCCAGTACAAGCCCATATGTTATTTTGTTTGTTTGTTTTTTATTATATTCCATTGGTGGAGGAGGCTAAAGTTACACACACTGGCCAATTTTCTAGCTGTTTTATATTCAACACAATTCAGTTACAATGTAGTAAGGACAGGTGTAGGTTCACTGAAGGGTTCTAGTTGGCTCCTCCTGGTGCCAGATTAACATCCCAGATAAGGTGTACATGTGCAATACTACTTAGGTAGAGCCATCCGCTTGATATATAACCTTTTACTGGTGTTTTGCCTGATCCCTGTGTCTGCTGCTGTGGGGTACAGGTGTGCCTACAGGTAGGGGTGTTTGTTTCCTCCACCTCTTCCTCCTCCAGTGTGTACAGCTATGTGTATCGCTGCTGAGTTTTGTTGCTGTCACCGTGCTTGCTTGCTCCTCTTCCTTGGCTTCCTTTATGCTAAAAGGTTGTGGTTTTCTATATCAAATTATTGTGTTTATCCTTTTGTTTATATGTCTGTGTTATATGAGGTGCTTATAAATCTGTTAGGTGGACTTTTCTTTCCTCTAATGTGGTAGATGAGGAAGGAAGTGGTTGCTGTAGTGGTCCTTTATCAGTGGAGACTTGCTGTTCTTTGTGATTTGATTACAGGGATTTATTTTTCTTAGTAGTTTAGTCCTTTCTATTCAAAGCTTAAATTACTGTGTTTTTTCCCGTTACCCTAATCAATTTATTTCAATAAAAAATTATTTTTAAGATGTGCTTTTTGATGCATCTTAAATAGAGAAAGGTTTCTATTGTAATTAGCAGTAAATGGATGGGCAAAACCTCTTGGTTCTTGTTTGGCCCAAATAGCCTCTAAATTCACAAGCACTGGCAGGAAGGCTCAAAGACTCTCACACCCTGGAGTCCAGGGGTGGGAGAAGCTGTCTACCCGTTACCAGAGCTTCCAGCCACAGGTGCTCTCTGTGGCTTAATGCATTGTGGAGAGCTAAACCCAAAGCCCTGGGTCTGCTTGTGGAACTGGGGGAGTGTTTGCTTATTTTGAAAAGTAGTTTTAATGCAGAATCTCGCCTCCTCTTTTTGCCCTCATATCGGTGATACTGCTCTCTGCCACATCACATGTGTCTGTGGTCGGATGTAAATGTATATAGACATTGGTGTAGAGACAAATATAGACAAATGTATATAGACATGAAGGAGGTGCTCACAGTGTTTCTCATTATACAGGAACTATTAGTGTCCAGTACAACAAAGCTAAAATATCACTTAGGTGTCCTTAAGTGGGACCGCGTTAAAAATACGGGTGCTAATAGTAAGAGCCGTCGTAGCCTGCCTTGCCCCTGGAGTGTAAGGTTAAAAGGAGGCGCGTGCCCATCGCTCTGAGGCGAGCCCTGCCCCGAGGCGCCCTCTCCCGCCTCTGGGGTCGGGGATTCCCCCGCGCCCAGCCCGCGCGGCACTGGAGCGCGGCTCAGCTGCCGCCTGCCCCTCTCTCGGGAGCGCGGCGCTGCCTGGGGGCTCCGCAGCCCCCTCCGGCCGCCGCCGCCCGCCCCGCTCGCTCCCGTGTCGGCCGCTGCCCGGCACTGCAGCAAGGCAGGGGCGGCCGCGGCGGGGAGCGGCGGCGCCTCGTCCCGCCCCTCTGCTCCGCTCCGCTCCGCGCTCCGCTCCGTCACGGCCGGCGGCTCCGCCGGGAGCTCCTGCCGCCCGCAGCGCAGCGCCGCGCGGCCGCCGCCGGCCCCGCCGGTAAGTGATGATGCCCCGCGGAGCCGCCCCGCTTCTCCCGGCCAACTTCTTTTCCTTTTTTATTTTTTCCCCTTTCTGTTTTACCTGCTTGCGGCAGAGGAAGGCTCAACTTTTCCGCAGGGATCGGCGGGGGGTTGCTGCCTGGGGAGGGCGCCGGGGGAAGCCCTTAGGGCGGGCGGAGCATCCCGCGGAGCCGCCGCCGCTCCCTGCAGCCCTGCCCGGAGCTCGCTCGCTGCCTCGCAGCGCGTTGTAGCGACCCTGGCGCCGTAAATCTCCTCCCTGCCTGTGAAGCTGCCCGGCGTTATCAGCCTGCCACAACTTTTGCGTGCTAGGGAAGCAAAAAGCAGGGCTGTTTGGGTCCCCGGCGGCTCCAGGCGCACGGAAAAGCAAGCTTGCACCGTCCTAGCGGTAAGGAGGGTGAAGAAAATGCAAGATGCGGTAAGGATGTAAAGGCTCCAGCTCCTCAGGGAACTGGCACTTTCTTAGCTGTGCTCAGGGCAGAGCGGGCAGCGTTTCAGACTACGCACAGGAAAGGGACAAAGAAAAGAAAATAACGTGAGTGTCGGAGCTCGGCTCCTGTCCCCGCCCCGGGCTGCAGCGGCGAGCGGGGCTCCCCGGGCCGCGCCGGGAGAGCCGCGGGAGCGGAGGGGAAGGAGGGCGCCCCTTCCCTGCAGCCCCAGCAAAGGGGGTTCCCAGCCCCGCTGGTCGCCGCTGTCCCGGGGCGCGGGGGCTTCCAGCCCGCGTGGGGAGCGGAGCGCGGGAAAGGGCTCGTTACCCGGGCACATCCCTTGGGGAAACCGCAGCGGGGAAGAGGATAGTAGGTAGGGGGAGGTTAGGAAAAGCCCGGCGGGCGACGGGCTTTCCTGGGGCGACTCCCTTCCAGCTACATTGGAATTGCAGCGCAGGGGAGGCAGAGGAGGGGGCAGGACACCCCAGGAGAGCGCGGGGCGTGGGCGGGGGGCGCCGCGTCACGCGGGGGCCGGGGCGGCCACGACACGCGGCTGCGGGGGGGACGAGGAGGAGGAAGAGCTGGGCAAGCCGGGGTGAAGGTAGGCGGGGATGGGCTCCTCGCAAGACGCTGAGATCATGCGGGGGCTGCCCGGGGATCCGTGGGCTCCCGCTCTCCCTCCCCTGCAGGGCTGGGAGCTGCAGAGCGCCTGGGAGGGGGCGCGCTGCGGTGGCAGGGAGGGAGGGAGGGAGGGAGAGCCGGGCGGGCTGCACCGCACCGCACCGCAGTGCGGGCGGCCGCGGCAGGCTGCGCCGCGCGGGCAGCGCCGGGCAGCGCGCGCGGAGCTGGGCGCGCCGCCGCCGCCGGGAGGCCCTGCCCGCAGCCGCGAAGGGTGCCGCGGAGGGGCAGGGGAAAAGTTCTCCGGTTCGGCTCGGCGCGAGCAGGCCGGGGTGTGCGTCCCTGAGTGAGCCCCGCTTTGCTGGGCTGCATAGCCTCCTGAGGTACTGAAGTTTAACAGTGAATTTTCTTTCCTTGTTGAGGTCCTGTGGGAATGGAAACTACCTTTCTGTTGTTTTGGTCAACATTAGGTATTTTCCATATAATTAAGCAAGTATTCAGCATTTTCACTGAGATAAGGCACAGGGGCAAATTGGAGCCCCTGTTCCTTTCCCCACAGTGAGCTGTTTTCCGCCATTCTACTGGACAATAACATATATTAGATCTTAACATTTGATGACTTATCTTGTTTTTTTTTCTGTTTCTGTGACATGTAGTGACACTCAATGTTTCTTTTCTACATCCCTGAGAAATGCAAAGTTCTGTAAAATGTGGCCACAGTGCATTCCAATTGGAATTTTACATATATTTGGAGGAAAGCTTCCTGTAGGCCAAGTACTGACAAAAAAGAATTTACCAATTAACGTTACTGATGCACATGATGCCTCCCAGCACCTTTAAATGATGCTTGGGGGAGGGAGGGACTGGTGAAGAGGGAAGAGAGAGACAAGATTTAATATCTGTATTTCTGAAGCTGTATTCCTGCTGCTAACTTAATAAAGATGATCGGGAATGTTAGTGGCATGGACTGGAGGTAGACTTTCCCTGATATCAACTCAATGTAAAATCACATGCTGTTGCATTCTGGAAAAAAACCAAACAGGTTTGTATTTGACCAAATGAGGCTGAGCCAGATGTTTTCTGCTATACATTTGTGAGATCTAATTCATTTTTAAAAATTCTAAAATGAAAGAGTTGTTTTCTTCTCGCTTCTGAGCAACATGGAAGCAAAATGTTTGCAACAAAGGAAGATCACGTGAAGCCTTTGGTTGTATTTCCAACATGCAGCGTGACTGCGGGTGACTGTGCGAGGTGTATAACCGAGATTATATGTACCTGATTATGTAAAGTTACATAAATTGCTTGCAATAATGGCTTATTTCAAATGAACCGTTAGAATGCTATGTTCCAAAGCAGACTGCAAACGCTTATTCACAATGGCTGCCGCTGTCCCGTTCAACTTGGTGTGTTTTTATTATAGATTTCAGTGGAAACCAGAACAAATACAAAAAAAAAAAATTATAATGCAATAGCTGCATGAAAACATGTTTTGTGTTTTTAGTTGCATACAAGTTGTTTTATCCTCACAGGCTGATTACTAGGCTTGCGAGCCTTTGCAAGCCATACACATCAGAGGATGCATATTAATGCTTTTTTAAACAAAAGCTCATCAATTAGATTAAATGTGTTTGCAAACCTATGACAGGGAACCCTCAGCTGCTGCCACCGCCTTCGTGTTCTGTCGTGCCTAATATTTTCATCTTAGAACGGATCAGAGTCCTTTATAAAATCATCCAGAGTGTAGAGCTTGTTTTCTTTTAAGTGTTTGTAAGCAGTTAAATGGAAAAATTAATTGGAAGTGTGCTCAGAGTGCTAATGGCAATACATTGGTAACAAAACACTTTTTTTTTTCCTTTTAAATTATGAAACTATTTTAGTCATTAGGAAACCTGTCACTTAAAACTGTGTTGCAAAACATGATGGGCCTCTTTTTTTTTTCTCCGCAGAACACTGGTTGATAGCTGTAAAAGTTAGACTTTTAGGCTTTTAATATTTCTGTGATTTTGTGCATCTCTGTTTCTTATAGAAACATTCTCAACCCATTAAGAAGCTCTCCTCCTGTAAGTATAATGTTGCTGGTCTGTGAAATGTCGGTCAGACTTGGTCTCATACTCACCGTTTTAATGAGGTAAATGTATGCACTTAATACAGTGATGTGCAGGTTTCTGTACCATGCCTGTGACTGAAACCGTTGTCTCTCCATTAGCAACAATCAGTGGAGTAAAGCGCATCTAAGTTGATCTCTCTGTGTGTCTGTATCAGGGTCTGTTCCCCGTGAGGCTGCAGACAGACCCATCCCGCTGCTCACGGTGTATTGCAGGGTGTTTAAGGTGCAGTGCTCTTCCATTTTTACAATGGAAATCTTACCTATGTTTGCCTGTGTTTCAGCTGACCAGCTGCTAACAGCAAAGGCAACGCACAAGCAGCAGCAGATTCCATGCACAGCCCATCCAAATATTTCTCACTGAGCTGCAGTGTATGGTGATGAAGACGTGGCTAACGCCCAGCACATCGTGCAGCTTGCAGCACATGTAGTGTAAAGCTTTTTGTTGAGCAGAGACCATGAAGAATACGGTGTTGCTGCTGCTTCATGTTTTCTTGCCTGCAGCAAGATGGTTTTAAGATAAAGCAGCAGCATCCCAGTAGCCAGCTCTCCCCTTCCCAACAGGAGACTCTTGTGGTGAGGGGGCCCTGCGAACCTGCTTATGTGCTTTGTCCTGGGGTGGTAGTCTGCACCTCCCAAGCACATACACATTTTTTGACCCAAGTAACATCTGAGTTACAGGGAATGTGGTTGATAGCAGCGTGCAACCACTCTGTAGCTTTTTTCTTTTTTGCCTTTATCTTTTTTCCCCTTTATATGGTAGTATGAGTTGTGGATGGGAAGAACTTTAGGGAATCAGATAGACTGCTTTTTTTTTTTTTTTTTTTGCTTTTAAAGCACAGACAAACATGAAAATGAGAGGTGACTTTGGTAGGAGCAAATGTTTCGAGTCTTGAACAGGCACCACTTTCATGGCATATAAAACCAGAGGATAAACTTTGCTTTTTGTAAGAATAGTAGTCTTAATCTCAAGAAGGTGGTTTTGCAAAGTAAGATGCATATAATTCGTCCCCCTGCTCTTGGAAGACAGAGGAAGGGGCAATTCCTCGGAACCATGCTTCCATCTGGAAGCTGTTCCTCTGGCGTGTAGGCTGTTGATGTATTCTATATCTCTGTGGATTCTTCACATCCTTCCTCGTGGACAGCTGATGGTGCATCTCAGGTCCTTGCTGCCCATATGAGACAAGAGACTTACTTATTTTCATTTACAAGTAACACACTAGAAAATTCCACCACAAAACCTCTCCAGTCCCCACCAGCAATAAAGATAAGATCAAACATATGTTTTTCCATTTCCTGATCATGTTGAAAGCTTTCTGCAGGGCATTTGTGATATCTTTCCTGTACAGATATGAAAGCACCAGATACTATTTGGCGTTTTCCTTTTCAACTGTCAGGCCAACAGAAGTAAATTGCTTTGTACAGATTATGAAGGATCCTGTGGTGATGCTATCTTAGAGAGGGTTTGCAGATGTGTGAATGATTGGGGTGCTTCCTCATAAGTCACACTAGGCTGGTGCTGGAAGGAAAGGTAAGGTATTATTATCACCCCTTCTGATTCTAGCAAATGCTTGTTCTTTCTTCAACAAAATAGTTCTCCTTATTTCAACTAAGCAAAGTATGTGACCAGTTTTAAATCCGCAAGTGGGGAGGGGAGAAATACGCTAATGCAATAGGTGAATATACAGAATATTCACATCTTGCTGGTCTTTCAGCCTCCTGCTTTTCATATCTGTTTACAGCTGTGCAGGTAACGGTGTCATTTGCTTTTGGACGGTGTTCTGGGGATCTGGATGGCTCCTTTTGTGAACAGGACTCCCTATCTTCACGCAGAACTGCTGAACAGATGGTCCTGCAGACTGAATTCACTTCCCTTCATAACATTCTCTTTCAGTTTGCCAGCAGCACCTTATTTTCAAATAACTCAACTGCTTTTTTTCCTATCAGTTGTCTTAAACCAGTCAAGCTCTGACAGTAGCTAGAATATTAAAAAAAAAAAAAAAAAAAGCACATAAAAAAAAAGCACAGAAATGATGTCAAACTTGTAACCAGCACATGTTACTGTGGAGATCTTGTAAGGGGATCTGTTCAGAAAAGGAGTATTGAGGCAGGTAGGAGTCCCTGCTGTGTAGATGGCACCTTTTTTTTCTTTTCATTGGAGGCTTTCTCTTCCCTGATGGAAGGATACTGTAAACATATGAAGATGTTTAACATGACTGGTTTCTGTTGCCAAACAGT